AAATCACAGCTGAGTTCACTGGGATCAGATATGGTTCTCACCTCATGGAATTTATCATAAGCCAAACACTACAAAAGTACAGTGGTGCTGGAGACCAAGACCAGTTTTTCTTCCTTGGTTTCCTAATACATTTTTCAAGCATCCTCACAGCAGGGCTGATTTCACATTTGGGGCTTTTAGAAGCAATTTATAATGTATAAAGATGATTCTGAATTTTCCAAGTGCTTTCTGGTTGGTTTTGCCAAGTAAGTACTTTTTTCCCTGCTGCTCTAATTTGTATTACGGAAGTGTTCAGTAATGATTTAGGTGCAATACAAACACAATGCACACAGACTCCTTGCTCAGAGAATCTGCTTTTTTCTGACCAAAGCCAGAAATCAATGCACATTGTATTGTCTCACAGACTTTACTAGATTTATATTTTTACAAAAGCAGTTTTTCTGTGTCAGTAGTTCATGGTGTATACCCCTGTCCTAATTATATTCCTGACTCTTTGCCTAATCTGTCATGAATACAACCAGTGCAGTTCTGAAATAAGGGAGTTAGTACCCAGGGCAATTTCCATGAGGAATCCCAGACAACAGAATTCGAGTGCTTTCCAGCCAAGCCTCCTTGGCCCTATGCCATTTGTGAGTGGCCCCATCTTAACCTCTAGACATCATGTAAGTGTTTGAAAGTCATCAAATGGAAGTTGCCTGCCAGCATCAAGGATTGAGATTAGAGAAAGCCCAGAGAAAATCATTACAGCGAGGTAAAAATGATGGATGGTGAGTCCTTTCTCATGGATGTAACATGTGAGCAGCATGAAGTGTGAGGATAGCATATGTGGTTGGAAAGTTATTTGAAACAAGGTCTCTAAACATTCAAATCTTGAAATACAATTCAGGTAAAAGTTCACAACCTCTCTGGACAACCTGTGCTGGTGCCTCACCACCCTCACAGGGAAGAATTTCTTCCTAATATCTAATCCGCCCTGCTTCAGCTTAAGGCCATCCCCCCTTGTCCTGTCACCCCATTTTCTTGTCCACAGTCCTCTCCAGCTCCTTTATAGGCTTCCTTTAGGAACTGGAACATGCTCTAAGGTCTCCCCAACTTCTCTTCTCCAGGTTGAACAGCCCCAGTGCTCTCAACCTGTCTCCATAGCAGTGGTGTTCCAGCCCATGCTGGAAACCACACAGGAGTTTTGCCCAGCCCTGCTCTGGGAGCCATCACGTTACAGCCAAAGCTCTCCACAGAACTGCTGCACCTCTTGAAGCAGAAAGATGTCCAAGAGTGTGAACAGACTTTTCCCTGGATCTTGCTCAGACTGGAAACATTTTCAGTTGCCATTAAAAAGCATTAAATTACAGGCAGCAATTTCAAACTCTTTAGGCAAGCAGAATAATTTGAATTTAAGGAACTGCTTAAATGGCATCTCACCCAGTCGTGACTGCCATTGAGGATCACTGGCAGCAAGTGCTGCTCATGGACACGTTTCATGTTTAACTGAGGTAGAATAAATATGGGTTTATTTCCAGCTGCTGTTTCAAAGGCTATGCAAATATCAGAGATGAATTGTTAGCCAGTCATGCCTTAATCTAGAATCACATCATTCTAGAGAGGTGACTTCTTAGCTCCTTCTAAGCCACACTCGAATGAATAGACTCTCCCTAACTTTTCACCTGGCTTGGATCCCATACTTAAAATTTTGGTTAATTGAAAATAAAATGGTGACTGGAATGCCAGGACACAGGAAGGGATGTGTAGGACACACAACACAGCCCACAGGAGAGTAAATACTGCAAGAGCAGTGGTGTGAATGCCTCAGTGGTTCATTCCTGCACAGTCATTATGTGCTGTTTCACATTGTTGTTATGTGGGAAAAACAGGTTTTTGAAAGTCAGGAAATAAATGAGCAGTTTGAAGGTAATTCCAAACAGAGAGTGTTTTGACATGGATTGATTTATTTCAATTACTTTTGCTTATTTATCCAGTCATGATTAAAACCAGCATTGCCACAAAGAAAATAATACAGGAATGTGAATGCCAGACAGAAATTGCCCCTATGGTTTATAGTATTATAACACCTTCTGACTGCAAATGCCTTGATTTGGGTGGGAGGAGAGCAGATACCACTGTTTGGGGTACAAATAGCCATCACGAGGCACTTGTCTGTTACCAAATAGCTATTTTTAAGTCCTGTTCCCAATTATATATAATACCATTGTGTAAAGCTTGACTGCAGATGTCTTTGTGCCTGAATTTTTGATCTGAAGAGCAAAGGTGATGCTGTTCCAGCTCCACAGTTACTGGAAACTTACCAGAGAGGAAATCATGATTAGGGTGCTGCAAGATACAATAATTGAGGGGTACATTTCTACTTTGCTGCCTGTTCAGTCACTGTTCTCTGACTCAAAAGCAGTGCTGGGAGGTGTGTGTCCTCATTCCCAGGCCTGCTCATACCTTTTGGGACCTGCCAGACGTGGGGAGCTTATGAAACTTTGTCATGAGGGATTCACACCCCTCTGCGATCCCAGGGAGCATCTGCAGTGGCATTATCAGGCTTTGGCATGTGGCCAGAGTCTTGGTAACTTCCTGATTTCTCACTGGTACATAAAGGATACTCCTGAGCTATACCAAGGCAGATGACAACATAAATCTTGTCCACAACTATTTTGTATGAGTAATTTTTCCAAAGGTAAATAAATCCTCCCTGTTTCCTGTTACCCACGCCACCTGGCAAACTGAAAAACTGAGAAAATGTTGTTGCGCCTGGGAGCCAACTTAAATCGTTCCACAAATCTTTATTTTTAATTCCTTGTTAGAAAACAGAACCAACTGAAACTGGCTGGCAGAGAAAATGTGCCCCTTTCTTTTTTTCCCCCCTCTGCCTGGTTTGGTAATGTAACTGCCAGTTTCTGTTTTGGCCTCTGTAGAATTATATGCCTCTATTTGAAAGTTTTGACAAATCAGTCTATTTTCATTCTCCCTCTGCCATAAATTCAATCCATATGTGTTTAAAACATCCTTTCATAGCTTGAGCATGGAAAAGGAAGTGGCTTTAGGCTCTGTATAGTGTATTTAAAGCAAGCTCTCCTAGTTTGCATGCATCACTTCTGGTAGCTCTTAAAGCCTCCATTTCCTAATTATTCAGGTTAAGAGGGCATTGGCAGAGTGTTCTCCATTAACTAACAGTGATGTACAGTGGAGAAGCACAACAGGATAAATCATTCTCTTATTCTTATAATGTCCAGGAAGTTTTTGATGCAGCCCTTGGCTTTACCACCAAGCAGGATGCAAAGAGGATGTGAAAAGGGTAGGAGAGATCAATTCAGCATAAAATCTCAAAAGAAAACATCAAGACAAAGAAACAAAGGTCTTACACAATGAGCTGCTGTTCCTCTGGCAGGGTTTTGTTGGACAAGAATACACAGCACCTATGTGACAGGAGGTCACTGCCACAGGAGTAAAGTATCTCCACATCTGAGGCTGAACGGGGGTCAGGAGGTGAGGCTGGAAGGAAATGTGGGTCCAAGCTGAAATGTATTGGTGTGGATCAAAGTTAAAAAGCAGAAATACAGGATGCAGCAGGGTAGGAGCACAGGCAGTCATGGCTGTAAGTGCCCTTGTCTGAAATCATGGAAAATTTGGGCCAGGAGGTGCTACTGGAATTGCAGGATGGATCTGTAATTAGAAACGTAGTAGCAATCAAACACAACTGTAAATACGGCAGTGGCAAGGGCACAGGAACACTGGCTGAGTGCCTGCAGGTGGCTTTTCAGAGTCCACCCGCCCTGTGGATGCAGTGTCACACTGGGTTTCATCAGATCCACCCCAGGGTGCCACAGGAGGAGGCAGCTCTCCCACCTCAGCCTCTGCCACGTGCCCGTGCTCCCTGACTCACGCCAGCTCAGGAGGTCACATTGCCTCCTCTCTCTGTGCCACAGGGAGCAAACGTGGCCAAAGGGCAACAAAATTCAGCTTGCTAATTTGAAGAGAAATTATTCTATTAATGGATTTCTGGGAGGAAAGCAAGAGGAGCAATATTTTTTTATCTTTACAGTGCACTTGACTTGCAGTGTGGCTGTAGATCTGTTGTGCTTGACCAAAAATAAAGGGTGGAAAAGTGACTGCATCTTAACATGTCAAGTGCTTTGTACCATCCCCAGTGCTTGCTGCCATTCCAGCCAAATCACCCGAGAGGTTTCCAATTTGTCAATAATGCAAATGAGTTGTAGGAATATGCACAAAGTAGAACAAGGTCCCAACAACAACTACTCAAAACTGCCTGCAAATCTGTTGTTCCTTTCAGTTACTGTGCATTAACACTTACCAATGTGTGCAAGAAGAGGAGGTGGAAGGAGTGTGTGTGGTAAATGCATGTGTGCAATGTAATTATCTTTCTAATATCTCTCTCTCTCTCATACAGGGGTCATTTAGAGAGATGAAAATATAGTCAACCTCAAAACTCGTGGGTGTCGTTTGGCATATCCAGAGGTTTGCACATGTAGAAACCACAGTCTGAGCATTTGAAGCTGCGTGGCAGGTTCAAAGGACTGGCACAGCCCATGGGTTTGTTTTCAGAGCTGCAGAGATTGCAGCTACCATTTACCTTAGGTGGACTCGAGGCTATATGCCACATCTCTCAAAATCAGGGCCTTATATCTAGCAATCTGCATACAGCTGTTCAGCAGCAAGCTGTGTGTGAGGAGCAGAGTTGTTGTATAAACAAGAGTAGAGACTTCACTAAAGCTTTTCATGTAGTTTTATCTCAACTGCAATTTGTTTCAAGCTTTTAAAGGCTGTAGAAACATCCAGCCTTACTCCCCAGAGCCTTGTTTCCCTGTTTCAACCATTCCAGTGGTATTTACAGCACTGTTTGATTTGCTTTGAACTGTTCAAAAGACGTTGAGTCCCTGGACAAAGGTGCCAATGTGTTGGAGTTCTGTATCACTCCTAGAGAGACTTTTACACACCTGTAGCTTCAGTTGTAACAGGCCTGTTCTCTGCTCTCACCCCAGGTGTGCTGTCCCTCCCTGCCTACTTCAGCCCCTACAACGACGGGTCGGTGTGCAGCGACGGCCGCGCCGACGCGTATGCCCAGCTGGAACTCCGCACCCTGGAGCAGTCTCTGTTGGCAACTTGTGTTGGAAGCATCTCTGAGCTGAGTAAGTTTTGGATATAACCAACCATGGGTTTCTTTCAGTAAAGCAGGAGAGCCAGACCCTCCACTGCTGAGGCCAGTGGGAGTGTTGCCATTGTTGACAGTGTGAGCAGCGTTTGGTTAACGTTGGGTAAGGTTTAATTGTCTCGTGGTGCTGTTTATGGAAATCAGCTTTTCATTAGTTTGCTTTATATTTAATTCACCTGGAGAGGTGTAAGATGTGGCTTTTCCAGCCCTTTGGTACTGATGTTAGTGCCAGCAGCAGACGGGTGCTCTTGTCTAGCTGCCTCTGGAGGCTTTCTTGTACATTTGTGGATCAAGACAGTGGCACCTCTCTCAGATGGCAAAGAGGCTTCTCTTTGTTAGTGTTTCCACAGTGGAAATGTCAAGGGTGCAGGGTCTTCAAGGAAAAGCTTTTTGGTTACTTAAAAAAACAACAAGTGGAGGAAAAAAAAAATCTGAGAGCACTTTGGTAACAAAAACTTGTTCAACCCCTTTTTTTTTTAAGCTAACCAAACGAAATGTTCCATTCCTAGAGTGCTCACAAAGCCCCTTTAAAGTAAACAAAAATGATTTGTGTTTTCCTGGTCTACTTTTCCCTTGCAACGTTTCTGCTGGCATCACTTTCTCTGTCTGCACCATCTGAATGCTAATGAATGTCAGGACCAGTAAGGAGTTTGTGGGTTTCACCATTTATTTTGCAACCTGCCTTAATTTGAGGTTTTCAAATTCCTTCAACACACCTCTATTTATCCTGGAACACAAGAGAACATTTGTAGCAAGGGCCTAAGATTGAATACAGCTTCCTCTCTCCCTCTTCCCCCATCCCTATGTTGGCCAACTTGGTCAGTACATCCAGTGAATAGATCTCCTGATACAGTTGCCTACTTTTTTTTTTTTTTTTTCAAACGTTGCTGCACATTGCCAGAAAAATAGAGTGAGTGTGCAAAGGAGAAGGAACGTTACTCTGAGCTGAAAATTTGAATTCCAGATGCATTTCTGCTATCCAGTCTTCTGTGCTAGCACCAGCGCTGGAGGATTCCTGATAATCTCATAAAACCTGCAGATCCTGGAGCTACTGAAGTGGAAAGGCAGAGTTGTTAGGAGGGTTTTTTATTCTGAAGTGGGTCCTTAAGCTGAATGTGCTGTGCAATAAGTGAGTGGCACAGCTTTACATTGCAAATGGAGATTTAATGCTGCATCCACTGAACCACCAATAATGTCATGTTTAGACATACTGTGTGGGGCTTTCTCCTGTGTAACAGTAGAACCCCAGGGGTTCAGCTGGGGGTTGGTTGGCAAATTCAATGTATTGCTGTTAGATATACATGAACAAATAAAAACTTCCTAAGGATTTCAGGGGGAGGTGTTGCTAATTCATATGTGGTGCTTTCTCAGGAACCACCTTTGTGATGGGGAGACTATTTCAGTTCCATCCTTTCCCAGTATTGTAACTTTTGGACACAATAGAGTAACATTTCCTGTGAGAGTTTTAGGGGACTGTAAAACATAAAGTAACAGAGGATTCTCCCAAGGAAAAAATAGATCCTAGCTAAGTATAGTAATCTATAGTAATAATTCAGCTCACTGGTATGATAGTTACACTACTCAAAGATGTAATGTCTGAAGCTTTTAAAGCTTTCTAGAATCTGTAATGCACCACAGTACAAGGAGAGAGTAAACAGAGTGTGTCTAAAGCAAGTTTATTACACAGACCAGCTTTGGGGTCATTGCTCTGTGAACTTTTTGAAAGTCTGCAGTCTTAAAATCCTTCCTGAGCAAAACTGTGGAACACAGGTCATCTTTCAGACCTCCTCAGGTCCACCATGCTCCAGCATGAAGACAGGTTGGCTTGAGTTCAAAGACCAAGAGGACTGAGAAGCCCAGAAAGCTCCTGGATTGAGCTTCTTACAATACTCAGGGGAAATTTTCTGGCACAGCTTGTGACAGCCAGCATGATAAAGATTGGCTTTTTAATACAAGAGTCAGGTCTTGTTATTCTAGAGAAACCTACAGCTAGAGTAAGAATGAGAGCAGCAGATCCCTTAAAGAAGAGGTTTCTATCTTGAACATAAGATCATTGATTTGTCTCAAGTTCCTGGGTAGAAGGGTAGAACAGCATGACCCAGTTGAAGGAAATGGGAGCAATCTCATAACAAAAATGAGTGCGCTATTTGTACTCGTGCTGTGCTGGCTTTGCCTTGTGAAAACTGTTGCTTCCAGGTCAGGCAGAGAACATTTTGCAAAGATATCAGTGGTTTTTGTAGGCAGGCAAGAAACTGGTATATGTGGCTGGAAAGAGGAGAAAACCAGCAATAAAACAGAAAACTCTTTGTAAAGCTGTTGTTCTAAATGTGTGCGGACTGAGAGGAGTTTCACTGAATGTTTTCTAATGAATAACTTGTCATTTGAAAGAAAGCTAAATTTGCCAGGCACCAAGCTGCAGTGGCAGGCTGAGCACACACTCTGTGCCTTCATGAAGGAAATTATGTGCACACAAAAGACATTTCTCTTAGCTGGTGGAGGTCTTATTTAGCTCAAAGTGTCCTTAAGAGGACTGTGGATGACTAGTCAAGAGATGCCTTTGCATTCCTTCTCTCTGTGCAGGTGATTTGGTCTCCCGAGCGATGCACCACATGCAGTGCCTGAACACCATCCGCCCCGGCATGAGCCCCGTGCGGCAGACCCGGCAGCAGCAGCCCATCTCCTGGTCCCCTGATGCTCTCCACACCCTCTACTACTTCCTACGCTGTCCTCAGATGGAGTCCATGGAGAATCCCAACCTCGACCCTCCAAGAATGACCCTGAACAACGAGCGGTACGTGGGCAGCTGTTAGCAGTTGTGGAGTTGGGCTAAGCAGAGTTCTCTTTGTAGAGTGCCTGCGTGGGCAGCTCGGGCAACTTTGTGGGATGCTACCTATCAGGCATCAGTTATTCCTGCAGTCAGGCCAGATTCTGTTTGTCAGCCTTGCCAAGTTTATGAAGCCTTGGAATTGGGACTGGAAAGTGAGCTGTTTTTTCATGCAATCTTTCCGAGCGAGGCATATACTGTATGCTGCCAACAAGGCTTGTCTAGAGACGTTGCCAAAAGTACATGTGGTTGCCTAAAGCACTAAAGACCTTACCAAAGCAAATGTTACCTTCTGAATGGCTCCAATTAACAATTGTCATCATTCTCAGGAAGAGCAACGTTGTTTGCCGTGGAGAGGGTTGAAGGGATTTATGAACATCCTTCTTAAGGATTACTTGGGTTGTTGCTGTGTGTCTGGTGCAGAAAGAAATTTATATAGGAAGCCAATAACTAAACAGAAAATGCAGTGTGTCTCCCTGCCTTGTGCCAGCACCATAACTGACTCTGAAAGTAGGCCCATTATTAGAGTGGTCAGAAATTTTCCAGTGGGATGTTTTTTCTGTTGGAAACCTCCCTGGTTTCCTTCCTGCCCAGCTCCTTGGCAGTCTGCCTGACAGGCTGGTGGCAGCGAAGAGCTGAGGAGCCCTCAAAGCCCTGGCCACAAGCTGAGTTCCTTGACAGGTCAGGCAGCTCCTGCTCCCCAGCCCACTGCCATGCAGTTGCATTCTGCAGGGGGCCCCAGGTCACTTGTTAGATTTCCCAAGTTCCAAGTGCATATCCAAGTATCTCCTCATTGCAGAAATCTTACCTCAGTGGGAAATTCTGGTTTCTGATTATCCAGTGTTTATGCTAGGTTATTCTTTGGATGTCCTTTAGCCTGCTGGATGTCAGGCTGAGGGCTCTATCCTGGCCCTTCCCAAAAGCAGCCTGTGGTTGGGAAGCTTCATGGTATATTGATGTGTTGAGGCCTGGGAGGGGAGGCCACACTCCCCAAAACAAAAAAGCAAGGTGCCTGTTTGACAGATGAGCAGGGAAGGGAGAACATCTCACCTTGGGCTTTACTGTGCTCAGCACCAGCTTCTAAATTAGAATTAAATCATGGTAATATCCAAATAATTAATTATAAAAGTAAGAGATTGTCTTTCTGTTTGATACTCCCCCAAAATCTTTTCAAAGTGAGCAATCTGTCAGCAGAACTCTAAGAGACATGGAGCTGACACACATATATGAAATAGCAAGAGAAATTCAGTGAAGTTGAAGAAAATAGGAAGAGGCAGAGGCATGACTGCACAACTCAGAGCCATTGGTAGCTCATTTATCTGGGCTTTCTAACCTTAATCTAATGCCTTAATCAAATGGTGTGCAAGGCTGTTCATTTTGTATTAAATTTTTGCACACTATGCAAAAAAAAAAAAGAGTTTTTGAAGCCAGACTGTGCAAAGTTGTACCACTGGTTCCCACAACTGTAGAGCCAAAGCTGCTGAACAGCTCAGTGTCCGAAATGTAGATTAAGCTTTCTATTTTGTGTTGGGTTCTTTCCAGTGCTCCCAGTGTAATGATGTTACTGCAGCTACTTGTTTTGTACACTGAGGATAATAAATGAGTGAGATCAGGAGTGCAGTTATCTCTCCAATTGCTCCCAAACAATGCTCTTCACATGGTTCACCGGAGTTTTTTTGGAATGCAGGCTGCAGCTCTATTCTGTTTGAAATCCACACTAGATCTTGTAACAGCTGGTGTAAGGGAAATTTCTGCCATTTTTTCTGACCAGTACTTAGCTGAAAAGGAAATTAAAGAGGATATATTAAAATGGAGCAAAAACTGACATTAAGAAAAAAAACCCAGAACTTGAGCACTCTCAGGTTAAAGGACTGACTTTGAAAAGTTTATGAAAGCTGGAAATGAAATTAATATTGCTCAGTATACCAGAACTGATCCAACCCTACCTTTATTTGCTCCACGGTGTATTTATCTGCCTTCCTGTATTGAGCTCTGGGCATGTTATTTAGCATAGCCAGTGGGATAAATATTGCTGGCAGCACTCTGTAGAGGAGGTGGTTTACTCTTTCCTGGCTTAGGAGGAGACAGTGGAGGCTGCGTGCGAGTCGCTGGACTCGTGGCATGATAGATGAGGGCACTGATTCACCTAATGTGACTTGGCAAGGCTGTGCAGCCCAGTTCTTTCATTCTTTCCTGAGCTGTGCTAAATCAGCTGCAAACTCGGCATTGCTCTTTTGTGTGTTTGTGCTCACTCTCTGGAATATGCTTGTCCTGTGCACTGCTATCCCAGTTTGTGTCCTGCTGGAAAAATCTCGGTCACAAGCAAGGACAATAGCACTGCCCTGTTCTGTGTTTGCTTGTGCTTCAGTTCCTGTATAAATCTACTGAATAGTGATCTGAAATTTAGCAAAGAGAGGTGCAGCTGCTACAGCTGCAGGCTTGGTAAGACCTGATTTTGGGAAGATCTGTGAGCCACATTGATTCAGTGGAAGGAACTGAGTTGTTCATCTAGAGACCTCACAGCCTACAATCCATCTTGGCTTGCTGCTGTCTGTGAGCTTTCTGTGTGTCCCACTGCAATGCAGAGTGCTGTGAAAATCGTAACAGTGTAGGGTCTGGAAGGCCTTCACTTCAGCACGAGGCAAGCATAGAATTCAGTGCTGACACCATGCCTGATGGAGGCTGTCACGTGCCATAAAGGGCTTTTAGAGCCTAGCTGAGCTGTTGAACATATCCTGCAGCAAACTGTATAAGGTACTGGCACAGACACACTTGGAGGTAGATATTTAAGGCACCTCAGTGATCAGAGCCTCTTTAAACCCACACAAGTGATGTGCCTCATCCATGCTAAACACCTTGGCAAAAGACTTGAGGTGAGGAAGCTGTAGAGTCCTGCAGCAAAGGGGTGGATGGAGTCACCTCTAGAGCTGTGCAGGTAGAGAGGAAGTCTCTATTTTGGCTTCCAGTATGTGAATGGTTTGGGGTGCCAACAGACTGAAACTTTGGAAAGTTTGTGGGTTGGTGATATCTGGTACTGGTACCTACCTCCAGGTGAAGGTATTGAAGCAGGAGGAGGAGGGAAGGCAGAATTAGAGGTAAGTGCCTCAGGTATTTTAAGCAAAATATTTAAACATTTCCAAAGTAACTGCAGCTGCTTGCTGTGTGACCAAGCCATGGCCCACTTGGAGCACCAGAATGACCTTACTTGCTGCACAGACAATAAACCATCTGCTGTTTAGTGTCAGATAGGCCACCTGAGGAAGCATTTTGCAAACACAAAGTGCCACTTGTGCAATATTTTGGCAAAGGAATTAGACCCTGAGGTGAGCACAAGCTGCTTTGCTCAGTAAGGATACACCTGAGTGCCTCAGGGCTCAGAGGTTTCCAGTGTCATCAGAGTGCACATCTGTCTGTGCTGCTGCTGCAAAAAAAAGTGGCTCTGCTGGGCAATAAGGTTTTTTTAATTTTCTCCAAGATTGTAGTCTGTGTTGTGTCAGGGGTCAGACAATGTGTTTCTGGACCATGAGGAGGGAGCAGACACGTGGCACTTCTGCTCTCTCTGCTCTCTTCCTGCTCTGGGTTTCTTCCCATTGCTTATGTCAGATTGGCTGAGCTTGGGAACACTCCACAGTGGGGTTTCTTCCCGTTGCTTATGTCAGACTGGCTGAGCTTGGGAACACTCCACAGTGTGAGATCATGTCCCAGGGCATGTTGGCTGGGATTGTTTGGGATACTATGACTTGAGAAGAGCCATGCAAAGGCAAACTAAGTTTCTTTCTCCTTTTTCACTTTTTCCCAGGTGGGATATAAAGCTTTTGTCTTATTTTTAATGGTGTGTCAAGGCAATAGTGCTCTCACAGTGACACTTATCTTGGGGAGTATTTGCCTGCTCCCATAGAGCCCAAATCAAGGTCAATATTACAGTCTCATTTTACAGCTGGGTGGACTAGTCTGCCCTGGGTTAATTGACTTGGCCAGGGTAGTGGTCCAGCCTTAAAGCTGGGAATAGACACCACTGACTGCCCTTGTCCTGTCTCTTTCTGGTTATCATGTGCCTACACACAGCATTTATTGTAGGAAAGTCAGCATGATCTCCAGTACTCAAGAACAGGCAAAAAGTTGGATCCTGCTTCCTTGTGTAGCTAATTATCTGTGGTTTTGATAGGCTGAGCTTCCTCCCCTTCCAGCTGCCCTATTAAAAAGCTAAATTGCTTGCCTACTGTTGGTACTGTTGGTCTGTAGAACATTCTAAAAGTAATTCCAGGCTTGTCCGTCAGTGTTCGTGGATCCAGCCATGTCAGGCCTTTCTGAGCTTCCCATGTTGCAGCTGTGCCAAGTTTTACATGTTGTCTGAGTTTGCTGGTGCATTATTTTATTCCAAACATCAGCGAGTATAAAACAATTTACATCAGCAGAAGCACACAGACTGTATCCATCTGACTCTGTCAGTGAAAATCCAGTAAAACACTAGGGAAATTCCAGAGCTGATGGAGGATTTGTCAGCTGCCAACAGTCAAATTTGGAGCTTGCCAATTTGATGGAAATTTGCAGCTCTTCAGCTGGAAAAGCTGTTGGACACTGCAAGAGTCAACTACAGTCACACAGAGGCCACCTCGTAAGAAAAGAGAAAACTTTGTCCTGTTTGCCATGTGCAGGCTCCAGATTTGCTGCTTCACTGGAGAAGTCTGTTTTGTGATGTGACTGTAAACAAACCTGGGCTCACTCAGTTTCTCCCTTGCCACAGAAAATCCTTCAGGAAACCTGCTGCTCATCCTGCTGTCAGCTCAGTGGCTGCTCTTATCTACAAGGTTCAAAAGTGACCTAAATGATTTTTCTGCTTCCAACAGGAGTCTTCCCATTACATCTGTTACCTCACATGATCCAGAGCCTGTGGATAAACATGCAAACTGTATTTTTCAGTAGGGTCAAGCAGGCAAAAAGGACTTGTGCATACTCCTCTGTGCCAC